GTTTTAAGCCTAGAGCAATTACATATTTTTTTCAAAACAATTATGTGTTTTCTTTACACCAATGGATTCCTTTCATTATTTTGTACATAAAAGTATTAAGGTAAGATAATCGAAAAATGAATATTTTATTAGATATTTTATGATTTATGTAAAAATTAAGAAATTATTTCAAGCCTCAAAATTCGAAAAGTACTCGATAAAAAAATATTTTATTATAGTGTTTTAAAAAGAGGTAAGTTACAAAAGCTTTTTTTGGCAACAGATAGCCCTGACACTCTATATATATATATATATATATATATATATATATATATATATTAAAAAATATATATATATATATATGTATACGTATAAATAAAACATATATAAATGTGTGTGAATGTGCTTTAAAATATTTAACCATATTATATATCCAGATATACGAGAAATACAGATTCAAGATACAATTTTAATATAATACAGATGGAAGACAAATTTGAATGTAATAAATATCAAGAATAATGATATGATTTCATATGAAGCATAATTGACAAATTTGAGGATTAAATTTCAATTTTCACTCCATATGTTTGTTAGGAAGTTAATAGACTTTTCTCATATACATAAAATAAATACATACAGAAATCAGTGCTAGATAATCAATATGTTAAAGACTATATATATATATATATATATATATATATATATATATATATATATATATATCTATTTATTTATGTAGAATTTATATATAATTTATATATCTATTATTAGAATACATCTATTATTAGAATTTATGTATAATATCTATTATCTCTCTCGCTCGCAGAAAGAGAGAGAGAGAGAGATACAGGGTGTTTCATAAGTGGTGGACAAAATTTCAGGAATGGATTCTGCATGCTTAGAAAAGAAAAAAAAGTTACTCAACATAAGTCCGGAAATAATTAGTTTTTGAGTTATTAAGATTTTTGTAATACAACATTTTGTCTCATTTCTCGTCTTAGAAGTCCTTTTACAGGCATCAACAATGTTTTTCAAGTTCGGCGGTCTATGTTTACGTTAGCGCAGTGTATTATTTTTATTCTTGTTTACAATTGCATACTTTTTTCATGTATACACGAACACTGTACTCTGAGACTCAATGAGACGAACTGAGACTTGTATTGTGACAGAAGATGGACATATTATATATATATATATATATATATATATATATATATATATATATATATATACAGGGTGGGCCATTTTAAGTGATCCACTCCAATAATTTTTTTATATTTGAATGTACAACAAAATGTTTCAAATAAAAGTTGCTTGACTTCGAGGAGGACAGAAGATGGGTGGCAAAAATTTGACCTTGGATAGTCATTTGAGGGTCACATAAAGGTTACTTTCAATTTCTTAAATGGAACCCCCTATTTTTCATTGCATATTCTTATAGCTTATCTCGAGAGCTTTCTAAAACACTATAATTAAGTACCTTTTCATTAAGTACTTTTTGAGTTATAAGACTTGAAATAATTTCTTAATTTTACATAAACCATAAAATATCTAGTAAACCATTCATTTTTCGATTGTCTTACCTTCATACTTTTATATACAAAATAATGAAAGGAATCAATTGGTGTAAAGAAAACATACAGTTGTTTTTAAGAAAAAATATGGAATTGTTAATTGCAAATTACATATTTTTTCTTAGAAACAACTATGTGTTTTCTTTACACCAATTGATTCCTCTCATTATTTTGTACATAAAAGTATGAAGATAATCGTATGTAAGATAATCGAAAAATGAATGGTTTACTAGATATTTTATGGTTTATGTAAAATTAAGAAATTATTTCAAGCCTTATAACTCAAAAAGTACTTAATGAAAAGGTACTTAATTATAGTGTTTTGGAAAGCTCTCGAGATAAGCTACAAGAATATGCAATGAAAAATAGGGGATTCCATTTAAGAAATTAAAGGTAACCTTTATGTGACCTTCAAATGACTATCCAAGGTCAAATTTTTGCCACCCATCTTCTGTCCCCCTCGAAGTCAAGCAATTTTTATTTGAAACATTTTGTTGTACATTCAAATATAAAAAAGTTATTGGAGTGGATCACTTAAAATGGCCCACCCTGTATATATATATTGAATATATATATATATATATATATATATATATATATATAGAGAGAGAGAGAGAGAGAGAGAGAGAGAGTCCCTTTTTCTCACTCTATTTAATTCTGATGGCTGAGTTAATCAACGATTAACTCAGATAAATTAACCGGAGTTTGAAGCAGCCCTAAGCATTCGATTTTTAAAATAAAGCTAATTAGTTGACATAAAAATTATTAAAATCATCTATGAATATTTTCTTTTTTTTCTCTAATACAACGACCATCTAAAAATAATTAGTATTATTGATTCAAACGAGAATCAAAATTTTTTATCAAATATTTTCTCTGTTAATTTATAATTTCGGGTGGAAAACTCCCACCCGAAATTATAATTTCTATATAAATGTTTAGTTTCTACATCTTATACGTTATTGTCAATTAATGCATCTTTATATCATCATTTTTTATAAAAAAAGCAAATTTAAACAATAAAATATATATTGGAATAATACTTCTTTTCTGAAAAAAAGTTTCTGTTCTTACAGTGCGCATTTATGCAAAAATATATTATGATTTCACAATATACATTTTAAAAATATATTATGAAATACATATTATATAAATTATTATTATTATCATCATCAAAATTATTGATATTTAATATTTTTAGGTGTGTATACATTTGTTTCAATAATAAAATTATTTATCAAATAAAATTCAATATATATAATTGTACTTTATATATGTATTTCAACATATAGATCCAAATAATAAAAGAATCTACAAGAGATATTCTTTAATGGAAAATTTTTGAAAAAATATGAATCAATAAACATGATGCAATGAAAATAATTAAAAGTAATAACTTTGTTAAGCAGTCACAATTTTCACAATTCTTTTATATTGTTCGATTATAAAGACATAAGAATGAATTAAGGATCACAATATACTTGAACGGGAACACGAGGCCAAGGTTTAGCATTGTATCCTTGAGCATTCTCTGTTATCCAATGCTAATGTTTCTCACATTTCACCGTCAACGTCGCAATGCGAATGTTGCATGCATAGAATCTAGATTGCGCGCGCACATGTTGCAATTTATAAGTTAACTGATCACAAACATGATTCTACAAAAATTTTATTTTCAAGCTACTCTAGCTACGTTAATATATATCATTAGTATATCATAAAATGTTTGCATTATTTTTGATTTTTTAATTAATTTTAAAATTAATATATATCATAGCCAAAATAGTTAAATTGAACTATATTTGCTTTTTAATTTTGATATTTAATATGTATATATATATATATATATATATATATATATATATATCACCTTGAATTTTTAAAATGGAATGTCCATTTTATATTGTATATTTTTGTATTCATGTAATATATATATATATATTGGGTTGGGGAAAAAGTTTCTTCGTATTTTATTGCAAAAATGAAACAAATTTTATTCATATTTGAAATGAAGCTTATGAAATTAAATATGTGCCGTTTTGTTCGACCACCTTTTGCCATCTTTGAGGTAAAACCATAATCCCGTCACTGTAGAACTTGTGTGATTTCTGGGCGAAAAACTGTGACAAGTGATTTTCACAGGCCTCTCTTGAAGCCAACTTCGTACCATTAAGAGAGTTCTGTAGAGATCGAAATAAATGGTAGTCTGATGGTGCAAGGTCAGGACTATAAGGTGGGTGCATCAAAACTTCCCAGCCAAGTTCTCTTAATTTTTGACGAGTCGCTATAGATACATGAGGTCTCGCGTTGTCGTGATGAAAGACGACGCCTTTCCTATTGATCAATTCTGGTCGCGTTTTCTCAATTGCCTGGCGTAATCTTTCCAGTTGTTGACAGTAAAGGTTAGAATCAATTGTTTGACCGGACGGCAGCAGCTCGTAGTGAACGATTCCTTTGTAATCCCACCACACACTCAGCATCACTTTTCTTGGCGTCAATTTTGGCTTTGCCACAGTTTGCGGAACTTCATTTCGCTTTGTCCACGATCTTTTTCGTATATTATTGTCATACGTGATCCATTTTTCATTGCCTGTTATGAGCCGTTTCAAAAATGATTCGATGTCGTTTCGTTTTAACAATGATTCGCAGATAGAAAATCGATCCATTAAATTTTTGACTGTTAAATCATGTGGCACCCAAACATCGAGCTTTTTTTTGTATCCAGCTTTCTGCAAATGGTTTAAAACTGTTTTGTGGTCGATGTTCAGTTGCTTACCGATTTCGTGACTGCTAATATGCCGGTCTTGTTCAATTATTTCCATAATTTCATCGACTTTTTCAGTGATCGGTCGACCAGAGCGAGGTGCATCTTTGACGTTAAAATTTCCAGATTGAAAACGCTTGAACCAGCTTTGTGCAACACGTATTGATACAGCATCATGTCCATAAACATCACAAATTTTTTTAGCTGCCTGAGTTGCATTCTTCCCTTTTTTAAAATAAAATTTTAAAATGTATCAAATTTCTTCTTTCTCTTCACTCATTTTCAAGATGCAATAACTTTTAACTGAATAGATAAATATCACTACTTTTTTGCTACTTTTTCTTTATGATATGTCACCTTTCAAACGCACACAAAGTATTGACAGATCCGATTAATATTATCAAGGTTATGCGATTCTAATTCCATCTGCCGGAAAATACGAAGAAACTTTTTCCCCAACCCAATATATATATATATATATATATATATATATATATGTATATGTGTTTTATTAAATACATAATATTTTGATAAAATATCGATATCCATGTTTACGCTTGTGTTGCTAAATAAAAAATTCGAGACACACAATAATATTTTTTAGTCACAAAAATGTTTCTCCATGATCATTATCGTAAGAACACTGTATCATAATTGATAAAATTATTTTATTGTTTTAGATAATGACGGCGGCTCGTTCATATTGAAGTGATAATTAAATACTGAAAAACTTTCTACATTCACAAAAGTGAATTAAGAAGATCGAATACAGGAATGAGTACTTGTGAAAGTTGAAGGGGAAAACCTACACAACGAATAACAACAGCCTGCCTCCATTGCGACCAGTCACATACCTCATATTAAGGTACGTGAGTATAATGTGAGATTCAAAACGCTTCTTGAGCTGAAAACAGTTTTGGTAAACTTTTCTTGGGATTGTACATAAGCCCGCTTACAAATGTTTTGAATCATCTGAAATTGATTTCCATTCAAAATGGCTTTCAAGTAAAAAGAAAAAAATCTATCAGAATCAGGTGAGCAGAATGATGGAGCAAGCAGTCTTCATTTTAGTTAAAAATTTATGGGTAAAAAATAGTAATGGATAAGACGATGCATGATGAAGAAACTAGCAGTTATTCTTCCATAATACAGATATTTTTTAAGACTTTTTTTAGATATTTTAACATTTCTAGATAACACCATATTTTTTTCTTTTTTCTAAACTAAAAGTCACTTTGAAAAGACGACGATTTCAGTTCAAAGTATCAATGAAAATTCGCAGACAAACCTACGAACTTGAAAAGCCTATCAAAATTGTTTCCAACAATGATGACTGTGTTAAAAAGAGTGAAAGAATATTAAAAACAGTGAGAAAATATTGAAAAAGAAGATAAGAGAAATATTTTAATAAAATTTATTACTAGGAATTACAGATAAATCTAAACATTTACAGAAGTTTCTTTTTTAACATACCTATATGTATATGAGATAATAATTTAATATCAGACTATAAATAAAGTTATAAGTTGCAGCAATATTTTGTTATGTAAAGTTATCTTACACTTTTGGATTCTAATAAATAATAAGGCGTGATAGAACGTTTTTATTTTTCTATAAATTATTTATATAAAATATCATTTCTAAAAGTATTAACACTTGACAGAGACTTTTTGGCATGCGGAATAATCATTTTTAACTATAATATTATAAGTTTGTTATTAGCAATTTATAATGATTTTCTTATTTTGCTTGTTTTCTCAAAAAAGAGAAAATTAAGAAAAATCGTTTAAAAATGATTTAATAAGAATTTCCTTAAAACAGATTAAAATTTTCTTTTTTTTGATAACAGAAATATTAAGATTACAAAAAAATTCCGATAATTAGAATATTAAAAATACAAAAAAATTCTGATAATTAGAATATTAAAAATACAAACAAATTCTGATAATTAGAATATAAGACTAAAAGACAATAAGAGAATCTATATGTAAACTGCATATCAATTTATTAAGAGCAACGTATTAAGGCTCAAAGAATTAAAATATTTGTATTTATTAATACAAATATTTTAATTCTTTGAGCCTTCTTTCAGCACATTAATAACATTAAATATATAATCCTATTTAAGGTATTTAAGTCAAAAACAAGAACGCATATAACGAATCGCAATTAAAATATAAAATCCTAATAAATCTATCATTATGAATCAAAACGAAAATGCATATAAAAACCGAAATCACACTGTTTATATCATTGCCTATTACTCATCAAATCTCACTCCTAAGCTTGGTTGACCACAGAGGAATAATTATATAATCAAATGTTAATGGATATAATTCGATGTGCAATTGTTCATGTTCCTTAGTTTGCCAATCGCGCGCAAGTTAAATAAAAAGAGAAGCAGATCCCATAGCGGAAAATTTACTCGATATAATAGTATATAGCAGCTAAAAAATAAAAATAAATTAAATAAAAATTACATAACAAATTATCGGAAATATAAGTTAAAATATGTGAAAATTAAAAACTTTTGCACGTAACAAATTTCTAATTGTAATCGTAAGTCTATAAGAACATTGATTAGTTGAATATTCTTCTACTGTAGAAAGAATAATCGACTATAATTTATCAATTTTCTTACGAATTTACGATTACAAACGATTAATAAAAATTTGTTATGTGCAAAGACCTTAACAAATACAGTTAACAAGTCTTATACTGGATCGAAACATTTGCATTTGTACTTTGATTAATGTTGCTTTTAATAAATTTATTAACCCTTTATTTATTACATTTTATTTATTGCTCTTATTGCTATTTATTGCTATTTATTGCCTTTTATTCTTCTATTTAAAAAATTTTAAGTTTTTATTCAATATATAATTGTCAAACAATGTTACTGAAACAAATGAGAGCAAATAACTAATTGTAAAACTTGTAGTTTAAATAATTAATGTACTTTTACGAATATTTCTTTTTATATTTTTACAATTAGTAATTTCCTCATTTATTCAATTCATAGTTCGACAATTTTTTGTTTCTTCATAAAATTATATCGCAATATCCGTGCGCAATCTTGTTTTTCATCTATTTCTCATCTTTTATTTTTCTGTTTTACGTAATCATTCTTCGCGTAATCGCCCTTTATCATTTTACCGATAATTCATGTGTCAGGATTTAAGTAAATATAGACAGTCTTTCTTTCATTTCCACAGATCCTCTCACGACCATTGTTTTAGATTCAATGTGGATGAATTAAGTTCGTCCTTTACTTTATTGTTAATAAACCCATTGATTTGACAAATGTTTGTTATACAATCAAATTTCTTTACTGCCACAAATGATGAACTAAAATAATAAAACTACTTGTAAAATCAATTAAACTGTCTCACGAAATTTTTTTTCCATTATCAATACAATTAATTATTTTTGCATTAATTAATTGTACATTACAAAATAATATTAAAGAAACGTATAATTATCAAATTATCATTACGTATAACTATAATATTTAAAATATAAATATTTCGGCGTTAACAATCTTCAAATATTTTATAAACATTGTAAACATTTCAGAGTTTTATGTTAGTCAAAATACTTTCCATTGAAAAAATTAATATTGCACGGGGGGGGGGGGGAGGGAGAATTAAGTATACTATAATACTTTGACATGTAAAGTAGCATTATGTAAAAGATTTATTAGAGAGTTCCAACAAGGTGCCAGTTATGCACATAATATAGATGAAGATAGAATTGTGGGAGTGGGCTGAAATTTGTGAGGTCACAAAGCGCGAGGAGAGCGTGCATGAAAATCGCGCGCGCACTCTTAGAATGAAACGGGTTGAGCCACGTGACATATCTATAGCGTCTGGTACCGCAATGTTCCGTATTGATCGGACGACATCAGCTATATGCTGTTGGTAGCGTTTATACTAGCTTTTATCGGTTTGACTGCCGTTGCTCACTATCACTGTTCGCGATGTTCTCTTTTCGTTTCTATTACACAATGACGTTAATGTGTCACTATAACACTTTCGATTGGTGTGGCATAGTGATAGAAATTTGTTAAATATATAGAAAAACAAAGATGTTTTATTTACCTTATGTAAACATCTATCTCATGTAAACATTTTTTCATTTTAAAATTGTTTAATCAAAATAATAAATCTAAAATTCAAACAACAAGGACACTGAGAATATATGTGTATATACAGGCTGTTCTATTTTAAATGTCTCAGCCAAATAATTCGAAAATTGAAGCCGACCTGCACATAGCCTTAGCATCAACATCCGAAGTTAAACTAATATTTCTATCTTTTTTTTCTTTCCAAATCGTATAACTTTTGTCTGAATTATTTTCAAGGAAAATATGTCATTGAGATATTCGGAATAGGCAATTAAAAGTACATCCTATACATATAGAATGTAATTTGTAATAGATTATAATTTGCATCCACAAAATTAGCGCTATTTTAAAATGAGAAATAAGTCAAAAAAATGCTCAATCATTTTTCTCTACAATGCTTAACAAAAAAGAAATTATTAAATAAGAATTATTTAATCAGCGTCGTTTTTCAAGCTATTAAATTAAATATAATCATAAGCTATATATATATATATATATATATATATATATATATACAGAGTTTTCAAAAAAATCAGTACTTCTTAATATTTCCAAAAATATTAAGAAGTTTGCGAAAAATATCCTTATACAAAAGTTATAGAATTTCAAGTAGTGCATTACATAATAATATTAATATGATATTGAATAACGTTATCAAAGTCATACCTTGAAATTTTTAAATAGACACCCCATTTTTATTATATATTTTTATAGCTTTCCACGAGAACTTTTTAAAATATTATAATAAAGTATTTTTTATTAAGTACTTTTCCAAGTTATGAACTTAAAATAATTTCTTAATTTTGTAAATTATAAAATATCTCGTAAAATATTCCGCTTTTGATGATATTATCTCAATAGTTTTATGCTCAAAATAATGGGAGGAATCAATTGATGTAAAAAAAAAAACAATTGATTCTTTTTTCGGAAGTTTTGGCCGAATAATGTCTTAGGCTTAAACACGTTGCTCCAGAATCATTTAAAATATAATTTCTTGTTATAATATATTTGTAATATAATATATTTTAATCATCCAAAACAAAAAAGTAATAAAATTAATACTTCACGACAATTTCTTCCGGAAAATAACTTAATATCAATAATAATAAAAACTTACATATGAATGATTAGTTCAAACTATTCATTTAAAAAATTTGACTTTGATAATTTTTTTAATAAATGATTTTCTATAAATGTATTTATTGAGCAGAATATATGACACGATGTGCTGGTAGATATAAATTTATTAAACTTGACATCGAAAAAGATAATACAGAATACAGTATTGAAATGAGCGTCAACTAATATTTAACAACAGAAAAAACAATAGTATCTACTTAAGAATAATATAAAGGTGAATTATTCCTGTGTGATGTAATTATACATAAAGAATAAAGAAAAAAAACTGAATAAAAAAAGAAACAATCGTAGCTACAGCAACAATAGCGCAGTGGGCGTAAAAATGAATTCCTAATAATATTTCAATCTTTAATAAATATATTCTTATAAATATGTTTAATAAATATATATTTAATTGTCAAAAAATATGTTTTATTCCTTTGTACACATTTAATTACTTTTATTTCGCCCTTCCTCTCAGTTTGAGAAACAGTGTAAGATTTTTAAATGTATGGAGCGAAACTTGATATTATGTGTAAAATATTATCATGCACATAAAGAAGTATATTTAAACATTTGTTTTCTATCGTTTCTATTGTTAGTTAAATGAATCTTTAATTAGACAAAATTATACTTACAGAAATATCTTTTACAATTATGAAACCATAAGAAAATATTTAATTCTTTATTCTTAAAATTCGTTACAAAATGAATCATTTGTCATTCTTATTCTTTATTCTTCACATAAATATATAGCTAAAAAACGAATATTCTTATTTTATTACAATTCTTTGAAAATAAAAACTTAATATTAAAACGTCCATTATATTATTAAAAACTGAAAATTAAATTTTATCAATCAATGCATACTTAATAATTTGTATACTATTATATATATATATATATATATATATATATATATATAATAAAATTATTAAATTATCGTACATATTTATTGTATAAGTATTAAGTAAATAATCGTAATCTTAATCATTACGATCTATTTCTATATTTTGAACGATATTTTTTAAGTGAGTAGTGTAAGATCACAACAAATTACGATCAATTTATTTTTTATCAATAAGTCTTTTGAAAAACTTTATTCTTGCAAAATAAGAGAAACCATAATTTTAACTTAATTTTAACTTACATTAAGAATTAAGACATTTTTTAACATTGATAAAAAATACTATTTTCTTTATTTCAGATGACATAGAATGGGTTGGGTGGCGCTAGGGCGGTGTGCGGGTGGCAGCCGCCTCTCGTCCATCCTTTCGCTGTCTCTTACTTCCCTCGCGAGCTCCCTCATCTTCACTTTCCTCTGTATCCTCACGCTTGCTTTTACTCTCGTCACTCTTGCGCATGCTGAAGACATGTACGTATTGCATTAAAATATATTTATAAAATATTATAAAATATTTATAAATGATTTTTAAAATGATAGAAATTTTATATTTATAAAATATAAAATTTCTATATGTCATTTCTTAGCTTCTCAATCATTTTACTTGGCAATTTACTTTTACAATCTAAAAATAAAGAAAAATAATGATAATTTTAGAAGAGCGGTGAAAATAATGAGAAGCTGAGATTGTATTGTTATAGAATATTCAATTCTTTAAAGAGGAAGGAAGATTGTATTATTGGCAATAAGTGACGTACATTTAAATAAATTTTGTTTTATAAATTTTCTGTTTTGTCAATGATTTAAGTTATTACAGCGATAAACTATGAATAATAAATAAAACTTTACAAAATTAATACAAATAGAATTTCATAAAAATCTTATTTTTACATACATAACAAACTTAAAAAGAGAATAATTGAGTATTATTTACAATTCTTATGTCGACAAAATTGTTTTACTTAATTTACTGTAATATTTACTTATTTTCTTGAATTGTGATTTACAATTATGATATCGCAATCAGTGCGCAATATATACAACTACTGTATTGGCACAATATATGTACAATTGACAAACATACTTCTTTCTTTCTACTTTAAAGCGCTCTTATACATAAATGTCTGTGACTACTTGACAAATTCGTTCTGTTATTCGTCGGAATCTTAATCGAAGAGAGCGAGATGAGAATTACGACGATTTTTCTGCATGTAGAATCTAGGATTTTATGGAAATATAGAATGATCCGTCTTTTATATCATTACGCGATCAATAATTGGTGATGAAAGAAATTGAGTATCAGTATTACGAATGTTTCGATCGTATTATTGCATCGAATGTATTAGCATAGTAGACCAGTGGTGAGTTCACAAGTTTTCTGGTAGTATCTTACAATGTATCACAGTAAAATTAGGTGCAGTTTAGTGCTTTAGACAGCTGCGTCTGTTTCTAGTAAATCGGTAGAGATTTTTATATTATGTACATTATACATATACAACTTAAACGAATGTAATATGTTTTTATTTAAATGATATTTTAATGAATCAACCTCATTTTGAAGATTGAATAAGAAGCTTTTAATTTTATGCCGCTCCTTCTTTATTAAAAAATTCGAAGAATTTTTATTAGAAAATTCGAACTTTATTATTTTTATGAAATTATTATATACTGCAATATTTTTTGTTACTCATCATGATTAAACAAAACAATCTTCGAGATATTGAGATAGGGAAGGCTACCTTCGATGGAAGTTCGCGGGAAAATTACGCACCATGAGATCGCCATGTTTCTTTTGGATGCATCTATAGTGCGTTGTGTTACAGTTTCGAAGAGGGCAAATCGGACAAGGAAATTCTGGACAACTTGTTGCTGTCGACGCGTTATGACAAGCGGCTTCTGCCTCCGGTCCAAGGTACACTGAGGCCCTCATCCCACTGCCCATCAAGGCGACTACAACCTATCCCGTATCCAAAGACCCTCGACTATCCAGAGCACCTCAACATCATCGGCACCGCTACCACCACACAGCACCACACAACCACAGCTCACTGCTCACCCTTCATCGTAAGGGTACTCTCTGTAAATCACAATTTGTTCTTGAAAATATAAAAACATAATATAACACAAAAATATATACAAATATATAGAACAGAGAAAATAAGACATATGTGATCGAGAAAGCAAGACGCGATTTAAACGAGAAATGTATTCAAGCGGGCAAATCAATGGCTTTTTTCTCATTTTCTCATTTTATATTCAGAAAAAGTGTATTTTAAAACATAAGAAAAAGAGAATCAATTCAATTACATTAGAACCTGGATGCAATAAAAGTGTATTTATATATGTAATTTTCAGATATCGAATGCTTTTTTCGTCATTTTTAAAAATTTTATTCACTTTTACAGAAAATTTAATTCAATGCCAGTTTTGTTTATTGATTTTTTTAAAAGATAAAAGTATTAATTGTTTATAATATATTTTATTCGATATTTTTTATTTTGTAGTTTTTTTTATAGACTCTAAAAAAGTAAAAAAAAAGTATGAGATTAGAATTTTTTAATTTCCGATATATTATAGGAATTATATCAAACAAATTTTTTTTTTAGACTTTTCCGCTTTTCATCTGTCACCTAATATAAATTTGATTGTTGCACAGTGTATCAATTTGACTAATCCAGAAAAATAATGACATCCTTTGATATGTGTGGCCTATATAAGTGGCTTATATAAGTGAATAGCTTCACGGTTTGATTCAGAAGTGCCATAAACGAGAATATAGCTCCATAGAATTAGAAAATCCAAATTATTAATGGTTTTATGACTTATTTATCGTAGATATGACTAACAATAATAATTATGCGGTAACAATTACCAGCAACTAATTATTAACATCTGTTAAAGAACATCTGTTAAAGCACGTATATCCAGTGCTATTATACGTTGCAATACATGAAGAAAGATTTCAGTAATATATCTATTATTAAACTTGTAATTTCGACACTTAAACAAGTTAACGGAAAAGTAATTTTAAATACTCACATACAGAACAACATACATATAATTTTTTTTGTTCAAATGCATTGATGTATATAAAAAATTGTTTCAATAATTTTGCTTAAGTTATCTTGCTCTACTTTTATTCTTGTGAAAAATAAACTATAATTTTACAAACATTACACATATACAGTAAACTAAAATTATAAAAACATTACGGATTTACAATTACTGCAACAATATGAAGAACTCTCTAGTTTTTATTAGCTGTGCATCATATAAATAGATTAAATATTAATTTACGATGAAAGAGACAAATCAAATGAATATATTAAATCAAGATTTAATGTGTGCGATGAAAGAAACGTCGAGTTACAAATGAACCGAATAGTCGCTTGAGGATATATCCAAGAAAGGAAATGCACTTCAACTACGAAGATTATATTATTTAGATTTCATCAGTGGAACGACATACATATACATCGCATGATGACACAGATTATTGATTCTTGTGTGGAACGTCCTCGATTTGCAAAGTTCTATTGACACGTATCTGTATATAATTTATAAATATTAAAAATTTCATATAATGAATACATGGATAATGATTTAAGAAGAATAATAAAACACCAATAATTTTCTAAAAAATTCATAAAAAGTTAGACTTGGAAAAAGGATGGGACGTGGGCAAGGGTTGTTTGGTGTCATAGAAACATACACTTAAAAACTTACACAATTCTCATTACTCTTTTAGGAACACTTCTCCATAAACGGTATCGCATGATCATACCTAGTACCTATCAAACGTATCACAATAACGTATTAATTAAGAGTACATGATGGAAGAAATGGACTAGAACAATATATCTAACTTGAAATAAGCTGTAATTCTCTTCTACACTGAACTCTACTTATCAAAAATATAAGCTGTATAGATCAATATTCAGCCGTAAGTGAAAATAGAGAAGACAAATCTTGATTATCCTAAGGAACTTTCTTGAAACCAATTTAAATGGAATAGCTGAAGAATCTAATTTTAAATGGAATAGACGAAGAATGCACAAAATGAGAATAAGACGTGCGCAGAGCTATTGGGTGTTACAGATGCTGATTTCTGCTGCGGAATGAGATGGCCTGGTGACACTACCGGCTTGACAAACCAGTCGTCGATCTTCTCTAACAACCTCGAGAACCAGAACAAGAACCAGAACAATAACCACTATTCGTCGCACCAATACCTTCGCACTCACCTTCGCGGTCCGTCCTTTAAATTTTATTTCTTGTTACTACCTAATGTCATTTACATTGAAGATAATTCACCCTTATCATTTGATCTTTCGATCAACTTAAATTAATCTACGCAGCTTATTCAGTACTAACTCAATTCGGCATAATATTATGACATATATTATTAAATCTTTAAATAAAAATTTATATATAGTTAGGTTCGGAGAAAATTCATAAGAAAGAAATCATTTTTTAAGAAAAAAATTTTAATGCATTAATGTATACTTTTCTATCTACGAATATAATAAATAATAATAATTGCTTTATGCATATAACAATATGTAATTATGCATATAATAGTACATAATTAAAGTTTCGTAAAATGTAATATAACGTAATATAACGTAGTTTATGATATCCTGATGAAAAGTATTCATGAGCACGAAGTTCAAAAATAAATAATTTCCGAGTTATCCCACATAGCATGCATATCCAAAAGACATCCAGACAGCATCCCAAAGACATCTTTGAACGATTGGACATCTTCAGGATGTTCTCTGAATGTCTAAATGTCTGAATGTTTTGAATATAGATGCTATGTGGCATAGAGCATCAAACATCGAAAAAATAGCCTCCTTGACTCATAGTAGTTTTAATGTGTATGGTCATGATAGTCGTGGTAGTGTGTCTTTCTGCGTGTGTGTGTGTGTGTGTGTGTGTGTGTGTGTGTGTATGTGTGACTACATCTGAAAATTTTCAAAACTGGACAACTTGCATCAAAATACTATGAATAGACACATTCGTATATGTATATGCAGACACTATAAAAAAAACATAAACATATCAAATATATTCGAAAATGCAAATCAATCGATTCTTTTTAGGACCTAATAATATGTAAAATCAGACTGCGTAACTTTCTTGTAGTATTTATCGAGTAACGCTGATTCCGATGATAATTGCTTGATTAATGTTAATTAATAGCTTACATACGTAAGCTATTTCACGTTTCTAAAGGGTTTAAACATCCTTAGAATTCAATCGAAACGAAATTAAAACGGAACTTTATATATCTCTATACACACACATATACATACACACACACACACACACACACACACACACATACAGGCACACATTATCATAATATTAAGCTATCATGAGTTGATGAGCATTTTTTCGATGTTTGACATTTTATAACTTGAAAACTATCTATTTTTGGATTTTGTACATGCACACGTTTTTCATCAGAATGTCACAAACTACATTATATTATATTTTCAACCGATTCGACAGAGATCCATTTTTCATAAAGTTTGTACAGAGTCTTTTAGAGACTAAACTTTTAAGACCTAAAATTTAAAGGAGAAAACAATTATATTTTATACTTTAGTACAAATTTCTGTATAACTACTATATCTATATGTATATAAATTTAGTATTGAATGAAAACTCTCTATAATACATTTTAATATAATATAATAATTAAATTCTATACGTGAAAGACGTTTATTAACAAGAAATAAAATAATTAGGCAATAATCGCTGTTAATTAAGAAGAGATTATTGTGAAAGAGATGTATAAGTAATTGTAGACTTAATTATTGATAAATAGTTGATATACTACATAATATTATATTATATATATATATATATATATATATATATATATATATAACAGTTGGTCGAGATAACAACCAATATACAATTGGTTGAGTACTGAATGAGCGCATGTGTATCTATATTGATCTTTCGCTCAAGAATTCATAAGTCAGATAATATATATATAAAAAAAACGAAAAAACAAGACTCGAAGAACGCACGGCCACTTTTCATTTCTATGTGATACTATCTCTCACCGCTAACATATCTAGAGCATACATCCTACAATCTAGGTACACAAAATGCGTGTTTATTTGCCAATCCTTTTAATGAATATGTCAATAATTATTGTAAAAATTGCAAAATGATAAAGGCTTTTCTATTTAGTTTACTGTGCTCTATGCCTTTACGATTGTTAGCTCCAATCTTTAACACCATGTATAACATCAAAATTTATTTAATTGTCTTAATAAATTATACATTGTGATTTATTTTTTTAGAGATTGGGAGATGTTATATAAATATATTCTTACAGTTTTTTTGCTAAATTTTGATGTTAAGTTTAATTCAATTATAGGTCTTTCATAAATTTTTATACATTTGTCTAATATATTACGTTCAAAATTTATTAATTTTTTTAAAATTGGAAAGCTAATTTTTTGCGATTTATCTTACTATTTTTTCTAGAATATTATTTTGACATATGAAGCATCCTTACCAACGCTCAAGAAATAGAGCGCAATAAACTAAATAGAAAAATCTTTCACCATTTTCTAATTTTCACAATAATTATCGAAATATTAATTAAAAAGGATTGGCGAAGAGAGCATAGTTTCGTGCGGGTAAACCGGTGTACACTGTAGACATGCCAGTGGCAAGTGCAGCATCGAAAAGATAAGAATTGGAATATGCACAGCCAAACTATTCAAATATTTCAATTCAATAAATATTTCAATTTCAATAATTGCGAAAATTGCAAAGTGATACAGGACTTTTCTCTTCAGTTTACTACTATCTTCTCACGAGCGTTATCAAGGATGCTCTTGGATATACTGTATATTTAAAAATTCTAAATAAATAATTTAAAAAGTTATTAATAAAAAAAAACTTACTCAATTTAAAGATGTCATCAAATTTTTGTAGTAATAGTCGTTATTAAGTCAAATAGAGAAAAATCACATAAAAATGTCATCCACATATCAATGTTTAACTATGTTTTAATGCATCAATCATACTAATAAATATATTATTGGTTTAAATTTTAACCACATACTTTTAGTACATTAGCAATTTTGTATTTGTACACTCATATACATGCACACAAAGAGATAAATATATAAAACATTAACAGTAATACAATCATTAAACGATCAAAGAATAATAGTGTAATTCGATGTTTAATTATAAAATATTTGGTTTTTAAAAGAAGAGATATATGTACATGATACTATGAGCTCGTGTCTGTGGGACTGTGACTTGTGATGTGTATGTTTAGTTGTGGCAGCGGACCTTCTCCTTCACCTATAAATATCATAAATCGTTCTTCATTCATTATATGCCTCCTGATTTCATGCTTCAATATTGTTGACACACTTTACTCGCATAACTTTTCTTACATGAAAAATATATTCGAATGAAATATTTTCTTTGTTCCTATATAAAAAAATACAAAAGAGAATGGATCTCGTGTAAAAAATTAGAAATATGTTGAATTATATGTATAATTACAGATCTCGTTTTGCATTGAAAACGTGATGTAAGATGTTTTGCAAATCTATTTATGGAACACATTGTAATAGATTTTTTGGATTTGTTAATATTTTTAATTTATCTCCTTAAAATAACTTTGTACATATATTTAGTCAAAAAATGACGAGCAAATGATGATGTAATTATGAATGTATTTATTATTTAATGTCGTGGACATTTAATATTTTCCTAGACTTTTCGATTAATGAGAAAGTCCATTAGTTTATTCTTATCCTTAATAAAACATAGAAATTTATGTAACTACATGTATATTATAATTAAGATTGAGAAAAATACTTCATAAAAGCAATTTGTTATCATTGCTCAAAAAGTAACAAACGTAATTTCTATTATTTATAATGTTATGCAAAAAGACAAGTTAAAATACATACATATGAAACTATTTCGTTAAATATTTTCTTTACATTAACATACAACAATAAACTAATTATTTTGATATAGATATTGCTATGAAATATTGATTATGCTCAGAGATATGAAATGTATAATAATTTTAATAATAAATTTCAATATTAATATTTTATCAGAAAAAATTTATCTTAATGGCATTATAAAACCTTTTTTGTTTAAGTTTTTTCTGTAAATATAAATAAAAAAAAGAATATTTTCTAAATTTCATCGTTTAAATTTTTCAATATAATCAATCTGCATCTTGCATTTTTAACTTCATACAATTTATTCTTCATACATTCTGGTGATACAATAATTTACGTTTAAATTTACTTTTAATATATAAAAATTTATATAAATTATATCTGATTTAAAATAAAAGTCATTAAATTTTATAATTGTCAATGTAAATTATTGAAAGAATTTAATTGTATCTGTTTGCGTGGAAATCATACTATTTAGATTCGAAAAAGTAATGATAACTCTCTGTTTTATTTGCAAACTAACTATTAAAGTATATAATAATTATTAAAATTTAATACATAAAATATTTAATATTGTGATTATATACATATACAGAAGTTCTAGAATTATTTCACTTACAATATAAATTAAATAATTTGAATAATTATCTCTAATGTATAAAACGATAGTAAGTTATTCCAATAATATCCGATTGACAAGTTTCTCAAATATTTAGTCATTGCATTTCAAATGACTTTAATTCTTCATGAAAATTAATATTTTTGTAAAAAGACTTGATATCAAAAAACGGGATTCGTTGTATCCAAAGTAATATCTCTTGTGACACAATTGTGATACCATTTCCATCAATCATAAACGTAATGAATTAGAATCGATCGTATTACGGTACGGCTTGAGAGTCGCTCACCAATTGTAGAATTTACATTTTAATCAAGCCAGCTTGACTTTCTTGCTCAACACATCGACTTATTAATGCTCGTTTCATTTTTTGTACAATATGTTTTTATAAAGAATGTATTTTTTCAGATATTAGCAACATACATCGGTTTTTCTTTAAATTATATATATATATATATATATATATATATATATGTATGTATATTATATGATTAATGACTAACATGTTGCCGCCCCATGTCTAATATAAATATCAGAATTGAAATTATAATATGATAAAAAATTATGTACACAGTCTTTCAAAAAAATATTTCTGTGGTATAGTAATTTTATATTAATAAAATTATATAGATTAATGAAAACATTATGATTGCTTTACTTTTTTT